TTGTCGACGCGAGAATTTTTTATGAGAGGGTTGAACCTAGGCCATAAATTCTAGTCCACTCCCCATTAACTCAAAAAAGGCTGCACACCTACTAAAACGCATGTGAAGAATTTAGCGAGGATATTCTTTACATGAATTCATAATGGTGTAATATGAATTTAGTGAAAAGAAAGCGTCGCGTCGTCGACATCAACGATGGATAGAAAGTCGCACGTTTTTATGCTACTTAAGATATAATTTCAAATGATGAATTTAGAGGGTGATTCAGTTGAAATTTTTCAATATAAGTATTTCGAAACTTTCCAAAAATTAGGTTTCAAACCATGAAAATGAACAGTTTTGACTAAATGATTCAGTTTTCCTTTCTGAAAGATGTTTATATGTTCTTCCATGCGTGCATTGATTGTTTTGCCAGTTTGACCTATGTTATATATCCGTCACAAATGTAAAGATTTAGCTGTAAAAAAATTGGTTAGGTAACAGGATCAATTTTTTCTTAAAAAAAACAATTGTTTTCTTTCCGAAGTTCCGAATTTGATAAAATTCTTCTTCGGGGCTCGAAAAGTAGTTTTTTCGTGTTGATAATATTACTATTTTGAAAACCATCAGACATTTGGGAAACACATGAAACAAAAAATACATTGCAACAGACGAACTTCTGAGACAACACCAACACAAAATGACAAGAAACAAACAAACATTTGTTTCAGGGGGGTTCAATCCCGTCTGTTATGGAACCTTGTAATGGACGAGCTACTATGTCTCCTGGACCATAATGGGTATAAAGCACTGGGCTATGCAGACGACTTAGTCATCTTAGTCCAGGGTACATACAATAATGTAGTGAAGGGATGCATGTAGCAGGCCCTGAACATTATAACAAGATGGACCGAAGAAGAAGGGCTTAACATAAGCCCATCCTAATCGAACGTAGTAACACTCACCGAGAGGACTAAAATGGAAGGTCTCGGACCTCAAAAACTACGAGCTGAAGAAATACAAGTGTGGAGGAAGTTGAATATCTGAGAGTCCAAACTGACCTGGAACCAACACTTGGACAGGATAAAGAGGAAAGCGGAGGTAGCACTGATGCTCGCCAGACGCACCTATGGAAAAACATGGGGGCTAAAACAAGACATGGTATATTGGCTATACAAGATGGTGGTTAAACCCATGATAACATACACATCTCTGGTCTGGTGGCCAAAGATGAAGCAGGCGACCGCCATCAACAAACTAGGCAAGGTGCAAAGACTTGCATGTTTGGGAATGACGGGGCAATGAGAACTACCCCAACAGCTGCATTGGAGACACTCCAGAATCTACCTCCTTTACACTTTGTGATAATGGGGGAGGCCAGGATGGGCCAATTCAGACTGAAAAACTCATCGAACTACAAAAGATTGGACAGAACAGAAATTTCGGAACAAGTGGAGGAGCACTTATTGAATATGTGCACGGACCACATAACACCGAAGTGCACCTTTAACACAAACTTCACGGCCAAAATCATAAGCCGTGAAGAGTGGACGACCATTAGTCAACCCGAAAACATGTTTGGAAAAAACACGTGGTATACAGATGGATCCAAGACCAAACATGGAACGGGAGCTGGAATATACCGAGCGGATAGAAATCTAAACTACATCTATCCGCTAGGACTATACACACCCGTCTTTCAGGCGTTAGTGTATGCTATCTTGCAGTGAGCAAGGCTTTTTCAATTGATGAATCGAAGAGGTTTTTTGTATTAAAGTGTATAATTTTCAGAATTCTTGCAAAGCGCTTTCGACTTTCGTCATCATCAGTGCTCACCTGAAAGTAAGTGATCTAATCGAAAAGGAAGTTTGGTGAAAATTGAAGTTGTAAAATTTTTTAATAATCTTTAAGGTTAAGAAATTTGGAAAAATTGTTCAAGATTACTTACTTGTCAGGCAACAGGAAGTATCAAATTGAGTACATTGCACATTTGTAATATTTGACTTATATAGAACAAAATAGGCTTATAGCCGAAAAAATACATTTTTGGATTGAGGCCATGTGGTTCAGTCAAAGTATCATGAAGAAGGAGAACTTGAGACAGAATGTGTCAAGTGTCATGTTAAAATAATGATACCAACTTGAGGAGTGATCCATTATGGATTTGAATTATTATGTAGAGGAACATTATTGAATAAAAGGCGTCAGTCCATTCGACCTACTGTGTAGGTATATTCGAGACTGGCTTGAACGTTCAAAGTTCATTTCTTTAGAATTATTGTTATTATCAAAAAACTAATTGATATTTTTTTTTCTAATAGTGGTGGAATCTATATTGACACAATCGTGATTGTTATTTATGAATTGAGATCTTTAGTAATATATCAATAGTAATAAATCACTCTTCAACAACTATTTCATCTAGAGAACGGCGTTTATGTTTAATAAACTTCCTGAGAACGGTTTTCCAAATGGATTTAATTTCCAGCGATTCAAATTCAACGTGAAGCGCTATTTTCGTATAGGCACCGCTCTAAGAGCGTCTTAAGGATTTTCCTGTAATGCTTGTGTTTTGTCTTGATATTGTTTGTGTTCTTGATATTTTACTTTTACATTATGCCGTATTACTTCCTGTCGTAATCTGTTCTTTGATGCATATCACTTGTACAAAATAATTTCAGACTTCCTGTGACGACTCACGATTTTTTCTAGTTCGTTTTAATCCATATCACAATTCATCACCAATAATTTTTGTTTGAAGGTGGTTACCAATGTTTCGTGGTATATTTCATCAGTTCGGACTTCTATTGGCTACTATAATATAAATTGATTTGAAATCCCGAAAACATCTCTAAAAACATTAAAAAGATTAACTGAAACCAGTAACAACCAAAATAAATTAAAAAAATTGAACTATTAACACTAGTTGAAAAAATAAAAAAATTACAAGTTACTTCACGACGTTTCGATTGATATTATCCACAATCATCTTCGGGAGATAACTGGAGTCGTTCCTTCTAGATCTGACTTTTTATAGGTCATTCGACTGCTTTCACCTATCCCTTCCTCCCTCACCGCGCTTCATTGGCGGGAGTTGGTCGTGTTCCGCTTAATGAGAGGTTTCCATATGATACGTATCTCTACGGTAGCTGGGATGAATGCATTATTGGACAACACATATGCAGCTTCTTCGAATTTTCTCCTGAACCAGTGTTCCTCCTTGTGGATGATTTCAGCTTGAGCCCACTTGATATCAAGTCGATGAATCCAAACATGCTCTGCTATTCAGGATTTGCTGGTTTCTCCTCGCGGTGTGTGTTTCTTGTGCTCGGCAATGCGAACTTCCAATGGCCTCTTAGTTTCACCGATGTATGATTCTCCGCACTCGCAGGGTATCCGGTGAATGCAATTCTTGGAATGGCAGTCCGCCTTTGGTGGCCTGGTTTTTGTGAGGCTGCTACGGATAGTGTTCCCAGATCTGAAGCAGGTCCTGATGTTATACTTGGACCAAATCCCTCTTTTCCTTTCCGACAAGTACTTTCCGACAAGTACAAGTACTGGTTGTGGCGACTTCTCTTTCTTGTGGAGCTGTCTCCTAGCTGAAGCCTGTTCCACCATCACTTTGGAATAACCATTCCGTTGAAGGTCATTTTTGATATTGCCTAGTTTATTTTCGAGGTTTTCCTTTGTATTGCAGAGCCCTGATGAGTCTTCATGATTTCTCTCTTAGTCGATTGATGGTGGTTGGATTTCTGGTTCATATACTGTCCTGTGTGAGTGGGTTTTCGATATACAGATGTTTCCCATTTAGTCTTGGTCCTCTTCATTAATACGTCTAAGAATGGCAATTCTATGTGGACTTCCATCTCCATTGTGAAAATGATGGAAGAACTTACGTCGTTGATGTGTCTAGTTCTGCATTTCCATGGTTCCAATTTTATATTTTTAATTTTAATTTCTTGTTACTGAATTTTTCAGCTCGTGTTAATAGTTCAATTCTGTGAATTTTTTTGGTTGTTGCTTGTATGTTATTCCATTGTAATTTCAATGTTTTTGCTTAATATTATTGTTATTTTTTCNGACCCCATGCATTGGCTTATCCTTGTTTCTGTTTAAAAAACAGATGTTTTGAATAGTGGAGCTTTTTGTACTGCAGTTTTAGGGTACGTTGGACCAGTGGAAAATTTGCAAACTCTTACTAAGTTATCTCGAGAATCAGGAAGCAGCGTACAAAAGTTTTCAGGATCATTCATGAGTACAAATTTTATCTATATAAGATTAGACTAGTTCTTGAATTGAACGAACATGATATCGATAGAAGTATCGAGTTTTGTGAAAGTCTCACTGAACGGATCAGCTTGCATCAGAATTTCTTGCATAAAATTTGTTTTTTGGATGAATGTACGTTTAGTTGGAATGGAGAGGTGAATCGTCAAAATCGTCGATATTGGAGTGAAAATAATCCTCATTTATACCGTCAAGTTCATACCCACCGACGTCAAAAACTGAATGTTTGGGCAGGAATTTCAGGTGACTCCATCATAAGACCTTTTTTTATCGATGATAATTTGACTAATGATGAATATTTGGATATGTTGGAGAATCGAATAATCAGCAGGATGGTGGACCTCCTCATTATACAGCTCCAGTGCGAAAATTTTTGGATTATAATTTTCCTGGTCACTGGATTGGCAGAAGAGGTCCTACAGAATGGCCACCGAAGTCTCCGGTTATAACTACTGTAGATTTCTTTTTTTGAGGTCATTTGAAGTCTAAAGTTTATGACACAAAATCAACAACATTAGAAGATTCGAAAGAGAATATCATGAAGCATTGCAAAGAAATAGCTTCCGAGATTCTCAACCATGTGAGAGTTGTGGGGAAGTAACATAAAATGTAAATATATCAAAATGTGTCTCCCTGTATACTATTGTTGACATGGAATGCACTGTACATAAAATTACATAATTACAGTTACAAATACAATTACAAAACTGTTCAAGGAAATGCAAATGACTTACTTTGGTGTTCCAACCGTTACCGGATACCTTTTGGGGTTAGTCTGTTTCGACATCACGTTGTAAGAAGCCGGATCTGGAACTTTCCTCATCGCGCTTTTATACTGCTGCATCTGAGCCATAACTTTCTGTTGCGACCCTGCATAGTCATAATTAATTTCTTCCGAGGGGTAAAAATGTCGCTGCAGGCTATTGTTGTAAGGGTGAGGATAGGTTTGTGGCGGAATGGCAGACTGAGTTCTTGGAATCTGTGGGAGATTCCTGTTGTGATAATATCTGCAATGAAGATCGAATTGATTCAAGAGGATGAAGAATTCTACTGGAATAGTTGATGATGGAAGATGGGTTGTTTCNGGGTATGACATTTTTGGGTCGAGAGTGATTCCTAAATCTCTGATTGTGTTTGTTGTTTTCAGTTCTGATTAATTGATTTTATATGGCCAGTTAGTGGGATTTTTGTTTCGGAAAAAAGTAAATTTCTGGCATTTATCTATATTCAATTGCAGTAGATTTATATCACATCAGCGAACAAAGTTAGATAAATCGTACTGTAATAATTTTGTATCAGTTGAGAACCCTGTGGTACTCCCGATGGAACTGTGATTGAGGAAGATACTGAGTTACCATCAATCGTCTTACTGAATTTATATTCTGAAATTTGGTTAACTGTTTCATCACCACAACGAAGCTCGAAAGTCCGACAGTACTGAAGTAATTCAGCCTGGAAAAATTTCGACAGCGAAAAAACAGATGATCGACCTCGATCTCAATGAATAAAATAATATTTTATGTTACTATCGCAATGGCAGAAATTACAGGAAGGTCTTTTCGATCCATCTGTGAACCAACAACTATCTGCTCTTTATATCTCCTTCTCTCGGAAAATCCAGTCCTCTCTGCTCGGGAACAGTATTTTTTAAGACAATTCATAGTTGACAGTTGGAAGCATAAAGTCAGAGGTCATTTCCAAAATGCTGTGACTTCCAGTGTCAACCAACAGTCTGTTGCACTATGCATTAAATTGATTTGTGCAATTGGCAATAGTATTGTTGGGGCTTCTGAACAACGAAATCGCGGGAAAATTGCCCCCGTTTGGAGAAAAATATAGTGCTGTTTCATCAAGACAAAGCCCTCCGTCACAAATCAATGAAAACGATGGCAAAATACATGAATTATGCTTCAAATTGCTTCTGCATCCACCATATTGTCCAGATCTGGCCCCTAACCACCTTTTTCTGTTCTCAAACCCTAAGAGAATGCTGGCTGAAAAGGAATTCATCGCTGATGTCAACAATATCGAATAATGAAATAAAATTTTATAAAAAATCTATGCCTCTTACATTATCACTATATTCTACTTACTGCTGAATATACGGCTGCGAACTGTACTGCTGCTTGCTGGTGATCATCTGGTGAGACGCGAGAGTATTTCTGTCGTAGATCTCCGGCAGATGACGTGGAGGTGCCACGCCGAAAGACTGTCGTTGATTTTCCGATAACGCATCGCTATCCGAGTAATCCGAAACGAATCCCTCGGGATCGTCGACGTAGTAATCTGGCGGAAGTTGCGGGTAGCCGTAGTTCTGGCGAGGGTTATGCGACATAATCTGGAAAAGGTGTATGATGAATTTCGAGGTCGTGAGACTGACTGATATACAGGTTATGTTGATGGATTATCAATAGGCTAAAGACCTCTCTTGCGTAACGGATGAAATAATTTTCTACGTAATTATGAATGAAAATGGAAAATCCTGAAACGGTCAATTTTTAAATATGGAAATACACTTCCTAGGGGTGATAGCCGCCCCTGTGAGGGTATAAATAGATAGGGGTATCATGTGATACCGTGTTTGCAAAAATTTCCAGTTCTCCATTCAGAAATATCGCAATTTTTCATTTCTGGACTTGAATAGTTGAAAACAAAATCCATTTCAAACTGACGAACAGCCCTCGAATCAAATATTTGTCACGACTGACTAGTTTATTAGTTGCCCATTGTATTTGTTCCATTAGATGCATCATTTCGCAATATTCATATCAGGTATTAGTTTTATTGTGTTTTTATATTTTGAAATTGGTCAGAATTGATTCCAGAAACACAAATACATCCAATGTGTATTCAGTGTTATTGTGTTACTGGAGAAAATCTGTAAGAGATATTTCCAGATATTCATCTTCTTCAATTTCGCGGTTTGAAAACTTGAAGCTTTCACCAATTTTACCAGATTCTTGATATTTTGGCGAAGTCGCAAAAATTATAGATATACATACGAACAATAGATGTAGTTTAGACCCAGTTTTTGCGGAATGTGAAGTTTGGATCTCTCTGAAAAAGAATATTAGTGCAGAGCTCTTCCACTTCCACTTGACCTACAGAAAAAAACTCAAACAAGTGTTTTAGATTGAAAAAAGTCAGTGAGATATATTTTCAGCTTAAAACATATACACCTTCGTCAATTTAAAATTTTAAAAGTACATTGGCGCATTCGCCAAACTTTACGTAGATAATATATATTTTGGCGAAGTCGCATACATTTCAATACATCCACTTTGCGAAATATGAAGTTTGGATTTCTCTGAAAAAGAACACTGGAACAGATCTCTTCCACTTCCACTTAATCTACAGAAAAAACCTCAAACTAGTGTCATAGATATAGTGAATAATCTGATTGACTGTCCCGAACTACTCTCCTATTTCAACTTTCATGTTCCACGAACCAATTCTAGAAATGAACTGACTTTTTATCTACCAAATTCTAGAACAAACATATTACTCAAGTCACCAGTTGTTGCATTGAGCAAACTTTACAATCAACTTTACAATCCACCTAATTTTTTGCTTAACTCTCCTAAATGTTTACTTCATTTTGTTTTTTGTTTACTCGCTTAAGATGTTTGTAGTTAAAAATCATCTAAGAACAATTCGTCAGTATGCCCACTGACTATATATGAACGTTTATAGTTGATAAATTAGTATTGTATTCATGTATATGTGTATGTATGTATACAAAGCTGCCGCCCCCATACGAACGACAACTCTCAGAAGTTGAGAAACTTGTGCGAGCTAAGGACTAACGAGGTCTTACCTTTTAACGTGTGATTCTTGCAAAGAAGAATTGAAAAATTCTAAATCCACATTGTATGTATTTGCAAGTCTCAAAGTTCTACCTACAGATTCTTTCCGGCCATAGTTGGTGCGATAAAAGGGTACTTTGAAGATTTTCGAATTTCTCGTTCTCCTTAGATTCACATTCATAGTTATAAGTTCGACAAGTTCCGGGGAATTGATGCTACCATTGATTATTTTATGAATTAGTGTAAGGTATGCTTCTAATCTTCTATGATCCAGAGTATTCAAGTTAAGAATGTCTGCAATGTGATATCCAGTTTATATGCAGAGTACCTTAAAAACTTATTTTGAACACTTTCAAGCATATCAATATCCACATGATATGAAGGGCACCAAAGTGTGGAACTGTATTCGATTATTGATCTAACAATTGAACAATATATTATTTTTAATGAAGTGAGAGATAATTCATTCGCAGATCTAAGAATGAAACCTAACATTTTTAATGCTTTAGAAGAAATATTTGCAATATGGGGTTCAAATGACATTTTTGGGTCGAGAGTGATTCCTAAGTCTCTGATTGTGTTTGTTGTTTTCAGTTCTGATTAATTGATTTTATATGGCCAGTTAATGGGATTTTTGTTTCGGAAAAAAGTAAATTTTTGACATTTGTCTATATTCAATTGCAGTAGATTTATATCACATCAGCGAACAAAGTTAGATAAATCGTACTGTAATAATTTTGTATCAGTTGAGAACCCTGTGGTACTCCCCAGGGAGATATAAAGAGCAGATAGGGTACTCCCCTATCTGCTCTTTATATCTCCTTCTCTGGGAAAATCCAGTCCTCTCTGCTCGAGAACAGTATTTTATAAGGCAATTCATAGTTGCCAGTTGGAAGCATGAAGTCAGAGGTCATTTCCAAAATGCTGTGACTTCCAGTGACAACAGTCTGTTGCACTATGCATTAAATTGATTTGTGCGATTGGCAATAGTATTGTTGGGGCTTTTGAACAACGAAATCGCGGGAAAATTGCCCCCGTTTAGAGAAAAATATAGTGCTGTTCCATCGAGATAAAGCCCTCCGTCACAAATCAATGAAAACAATGGCAAAATACATGAATTATGCTTCAAATTGCTCCTGCATCCACCATATTGTCCAGATCTGGCCCCTACCCACCTTTTTCTGTTCTCAAACCCTAAGAGAATGCTGGGTGAAAAGGAATTCATCGCTGATGTCAACAATATCGAATAATAAAATGAAATTTTATAAAAAATCTATGCCTCTTACATTATCACTATATTCTACTTACTGCTGAATGTATGGCTGCGAACTGTACTGCTGCTTGCTGGTGATACGTAGATAATATATATTTTGGCGAAGTCGCATACATTTCAATACATCCACTTTGCGAAATATGAAGTTTGGATTTCTCTGAAAAAGAACACTGGAGCAGATCTCTTCCATTTCCACTTAATCTACAGAAAAAACCTCAAACTAGTGTCATAGATTGAAAAAAGTCAGTGAGATATATTTTCAGACATTTAACTCAGCTTAAAACATATACACCTTCGCCAATTTAAAATTTTTAAAGTACATTGGCGCCTTCGCCAAACTTTACGTAGCTAATATATATTTTGGCGAAGTCGCATACATTTTAATACATCCACTTTGCGAAATATGAAGTTTGGATCTCTCTGAAAAAGAATACTGTAGCAGATCTCTTCCACTTCCACTTAATCTACAGAAAAAACCTCAAACAAGTGTCGTAGATTGAAAAAAGTCAGTGAGATATATTTTCAGACATTTAACTCAGTTCCCAACTCCCAACTCTGAAACCTTTTCCGCTCATACTTAACTGAACGTATCCTATTCGTAGATTATAGGGGTCACAAGTTTTTCCAATTCATTGCTAACAAGGAAGCAATTTAGCACCTCTTTCATTCTCACTCTTCATTAACGACATAGGAAATAATCTCTCTAGCAATTTCTTACTCTTTGCAGATGATTTGAAAATCTTTCGGCTCATTACATCATAGGAGGACTGCTTAATCTTACAAAAAAACCTTGACTTTTTGTACATTTGGTGTACCGAAAATAATCTTCCTCTCAATAGAAACAAATGTAAATACTCAAAATACACCCTTAAACATAATGTTATTTCTCATGATTACTGCATAAATAACACACCTTTTCAAATAAGCACTCATCGAAGGGATCTTGGTGTCACATTTGACCCTAAACTGAGTTTCTCCAGTCACTATGACACAATAACATGCTCAACCAAACGGATGATAGGGCCTATTTATCGTAACTGTGAGAACTTTCGTAGCAGAGACAGTTTTTTAATTCTTTTCAATGCATACGTCAAATCTCGGCTGGAATATGGTCACCCATATACAATGTCCACATAAACAAAATCGACTCTATACAAAGAGGCTTCATGAAATATATCTTACAAGCTAGAAGGAGTTTACCCTGAACAAGGTATCGACAACAGAATACCACTGAATAAATTAGACTAGTTCATGAATTGNTTTCCAGAGATTTGACTCAGCTTAAACATACACCTTCGCCAAATTAAGGGTTTAAAAAATTAGCGCCTTCGCCAAATTTTACACACATCATTAATATTTTGTCGAAGTCGCAAAAATTATATATAATTTTATTGCACTGAAAACATACAAAAAAAACATGGTAATACACCCAGTTTTTGGGGAAAAAGAAGCATTTAACTCAGCTTAAACATATACATCATCGTTAATTTAAAGTTTTCAAAGTACATTACCGCCTTCGCCAAATTTTGCGTAGATCATTGATATTTTGGCGAAGTCGCACAAATTATAAATGATTTTATTGCATTGAAAACATTCAAGCAATAAACATAGTATTAGACCCAGTTTTTTTGCGGAAGTTTGGATGTCGCTGGAAAAGAATCCTAGAGCAGGGCTCTTCGACTTCCACTTAACCTTCAGAAAAAACCTCGAACAAATGTCATAGATTGAAAAAATTCAGGGATAGATATTTCCAGAGATTTGACTCAGCTTAAACATACACCTTCGCCAATTTAAGGGTTTCAAAAAAATTGTCAATATTTTGGCGAAGTCGCAAAAATTATATATAATTTTATTGCACTGAAAACATACATACAAAAAACATGGTAATACACCCAATTTTTGGGAAAAAAAAAGCATTTAACTCAGCCTAAAATATACACCTTCGTTAATTTAAAGTTTTCAAAGTACATTACCGCCTTCGCCAAATTTTACGTAGATCATTGATATTTTGGCGAAGTCGCAAAAATTATAAATGATTTTATTGCACTGAAAACATTCAAGCAATAAACATAGTATTAGACCCAGTTTTTTTGCGGAAGTTTGGATGTCGCTGGAAAAGAATCCTAGAGCAGGACTATTCCACTTCCACTCAACCTTGGACATTGATGCTATCAATATCACTCTCAAATCGATTACTCATGTACAGGGTGTTTTCTAACTATGGTACGAAACTTCATAGGGTAACTCCTTGGATCGTTT